GCCAAGAGGCAAAAGGTACAGTGAAAACAATAATGGCCCAAGAATAGATCCCTGTGGCACACCCCAAAGCAGAGGGGCCACAGAGGATGAAGCCGACCCCAACTTAACACAAAAGATCCTATTTAAAAGATAGGACTTTAACCACAAAAGTGCCGAACCAGAAATTCCCACACAGTGCTGCAAGCGGGAGATCAGCAAATCGTTGTTTGCATTCATCAATTAAAATAATAAAGTTCAACTCTAAATCATATTTTATCTCTTTTATAACTCAGGTCTTCAGAGACAAGGCGTTGTGTCCCCACAGGTCTTCCTGGTGTCCAGCTTTGAGCTCCACCTGTACGACTTCTCTCTCTTACATGAGACCTTAGAGAGAGAACTTCCTGCGCACAAGAGGGACACTCTATTGTCCGTCATGCCCAACATCAGCCTGGAGATCATCAACAAGAAGAAAAAAGCTTTTCAGTCCAAAATAAAATACTACTCTATTCTGTCTGCAGCTGTAGCAGGGGTTCCAGTTCCTCTGCTTTCTGCTGCTGTTGATCTCGGCTTGATGGTTGCAGTTGTTTCAAAATATGTAGCTGGGTTTGGTCTTAATAAGTCATCTCTGGAGAGACTGGCTGCCAGCTCAGGTGTTCCATACACTGATCTGAGCTCTGTCATTAAATCAAAACTTTCTGCAGAAAAAACAACCATAGAACTCATCCTGAAGTTGTTGGTCTCAGCTGCAACCATAGTTGCATCAATGGCAGCAGAGGAAGCAACCAGATGGATTCCAGTATTTGGGATTGTAGCATCAATGAGCCTCTCATTCATCACAACCTACAAAGCTCTGAATTATTTCCTCAATGAGCTTGCTGATGATGCTCAGAAAGTGTTTAACAAGGCTCTGGGTTGAACATGTCAGAGTCATTCTGGGGATTAACTGTCAGTTACTTTGTTAGATTATTATCGTCAGTTTCCCAACACATGTTCCAAAATGTTCTCAGTTGTTGTTGTTCTCTGTGCTCCTGTCATTATTTGCATTTCCTTACTGTGCGTGTGTATGTTAATAATCAGAATCAGAATACTTTATTAATCCCGAAGGAAATGATAGGTATCTGCTCCTTTGTGCAAGGAGGAAAACAGGATAAGCACTCCCAGAACTAGAAAATTACTTTCAACAGGCCACTGGTGTGAATGTTTCTGACCAACAAATTAGAAACAGGCTTCAAGAGGGTGGCCCAACATCCTCTACAGGGCATTGTGAAGTCCAAGTCGCATTTGCCATAGAATACCAGAATTGGCAGGTCCACCACTGGTGCCCTGTGCTTTTCAGAAATGAGAGCAGTGTGACACAAGGACCTGATAACTCTTAAAGTTGTACTGGCAAATTAATTTTTATTTTGCTTTTCACACGTTTTACGCTTGAGCTGGACACTTTCCAGCATGCTCCAGCTGCTGCTCTGCTTTACGGATCTTTCACGCCAGTAGTAATATACCTATAGCTTTTTAGGACTTTTTGCACGTGCATGTGGGTCCAGGGGTCCTATGAGTTTACATGTGTTTAATAGCGTATTATTTAATGAAACCATTATGTGTTTTAATTAAACTCTTTTTAAAGGATTGTATAGGTCTCGGAGTTCTGTTATTTAGACATAGATGATTTAATTTAACTACTTTAGGGGTATTTTAACTAGTTAGGAGCCTTTTGCATTTTCTTCAGTGCTATTTAGGAGCAAATAGTTTTCAAACAGAGGGCCGCAAATAACAGGTATCCCTTTAGAAACAAACAGTGATACTTCTAAATACCGTGTATTCCCACACAGCATTTAGGAAGATTT